AAAAATAATATTCGTGTCGATGTGTCGAGAAAGGAACACTTGTGTCAGAAAAACCCGCCATCTTCGCCTCAAGTTCGTACTTTGATACATATTCTAATTTGCAATTTGGTCGCTGCAATAAAAATCAATATTATATTAATCTTTTATTGTAAATCTAAAGAATTTAAAGAATTGTTGTTACTATTAGAAAAGGCAGTACACAATTAAAAAATGTATTTTTAATTGTATAGTTTAAAATTTACTAAAATTGAAATTTGTTTTTAATTATTAATTAGTTGTAATAATAGTCGATTAGAGAATAACGAATTAATATTGTTATCTTTTTAATTAATGTTACATGCAAAAACTGACCTGCTCCTGTTAATAACAACTTTTTAATCTTTCAACACTGACAAAAGAAGTATTAATTTAAAAAATATTAAATTATAAATATTAATCGGGCTCTCAAAATTAAAAAATACAATAAAATATATATATGGACAATAAGAGCATATACACAGCGCGGAAATTGGTGCACAAATTTCTATATAATTACAAATAATATAAAAACAAATAAGGTCTACATAGGATATAAATGTACAATAATTATCTATGCCATATTATTCGAACGTTTTTCTTCAAACCATCATCAAAAAATCCATAGATGTCTTGAAAAAAATCTCGTAATAATGTTGGAATTCAAAGTCTATGTGGGACTGGGGATGAGCATTTCCTTATTTTCTGGTTAGGAATAGTCGTGATTTGTCTCTTCGTTAAAAAGTCAAGTGACTGTCCTTATTCTCCACAGATCACAAATTCGTTATTCCAGATATAAGAAATCAATTTTTGTAAAAGAAAGATAACAAGAATAGTAAGACTTAATTTTACAATATACATTTATCACATATGTTCTTTCAACGGAGTCAGACAGTAATCAAGACACCTATGGATTTGCTGATAATCGTTTGAAAAAAAACTGAAATGTTCGAATAATATGGTACAGATAATTATTGTACATTTATATCCTATGTAGACATTATTATTTGTTAATTATATAGAAATTTACCCACTAATTTCTGCGTTGTGTATATGCTCTTATTGTCCATATATTATATTTTATTGTATTATTTAATTTTAAGATATTAAAGTATTTTATTCTCGTCTATATTTTTTAAACACTTAAAGATGTTTTAGTTTTAAACTTTTTTAATAAACAAAATACTATGTGTTTGGATTTAAAACACGTAGGGTTTTAAATCCAAACACATAAGTTTTGTTTACTGAAAAAGTTTAAAACTAAAATATCTTTAAGTGTTTAAAAAGCGGATACAAGAATAAAAACATTTCAATATCTTAAAATTAAATGTTTCTTCTTTTAATAAAGTTTTCAATTTTGTGTTCCTTTATTTCTTTCCTGTTGCATGTCTGACAATGTTATCAAGATTATGTGCATGGTTTTATATTCGTAGATGAGAAACACCGCGTTCGAATGAATAAATTAATTAAAAACCGTTCCCCGTATAATCGGTGATCCGGAATAAAAGTACGAGTATACTCACAGCGATATTATTGACGTTTCTAATTACCTCGTTGCAACGTAATTCCTTTTTTTTACCAGTTTTACAATGATGACGTACGCAATTTAATTTGATATCTGTATGCCCAGCGTTCAGAATATCTAAACAAAATAGCAATCGTCTCATGACTGATTGTAAACAGGATTAATTAGCAAATCGAGATGTTGCATGATGATGTTTTGCCGAATCGACAAACCGTCCAAACAAAATTAGATAAAAATATGCGATGGAGAGAGACACTGCTTCAATATATTGATAAATTTTTTTATACTTGGAATTTCGTAAAGTATGAGAAAAAAAATTAAATTATAAAAAGTAATAATATATGTACAACGTGCGATTTAATCATTCTTATAGAATTTTATTTTTTCTTTTCTACTTTTTTGTACGAATTGTAAAAGAATTGTAAGATCCTTTTTACGAATATTTCATTTAACGAACGAATATTTCATTTAAGATGAAAAAGATCTGGACAGCGCATCTTTTCCAGCGAATCCAATCCTGAATTCACCAGATTCCGTTTCAGAAGACTGCAAAAAGAAAGGTATTTCCAACAAAGAGCGATTTAAAGCCATTTTTCTGTCTATTTTATAATTCGTGAATTTTTTTACTCATAAATCTGTAAGTATTTAATCCCCGTATTTCAAGATTTCTGTATCAAAAATTTGTCTTTCAGTAATCTTTTACTATCTTTTTCCCGCTGCTGATAGCTTGCGAAATTGAGCTTTCTTTTCAACTTTGGCAAAGTCACTTATTTACGAACGGTGAGGCGAATTCAATGGCGAATTTAAAGGGTCTGTGATAGCAAAGATATTGTAGAGCGATTTAATTTTCGTGTACGGCGAGTTTCATTAAGGGAACGTAAAAAAGATGATTTGTCAGAAGTTCCAGGATGCACGGCATCCAAAAGCCGTGCCTACTGGGGAATTACGCTAATTAGTTAGTGTCTTTACCAGGACGGTCCGCGTAACTGCGCACGTAGCATAGTCTCCCTTTCTCTCTCTCTTTCTCTCTCTCCCTTTCTCTCTCTCTCTCTCTCACTC